ACTGATACTACAGGTATTTCTTAGGAACATGAATTAAGTAGAATGACATGCATGCTGAGGATGTTTCCACAAACCTCTCGAGTCTTTTATAAAATAGCATTTAGCTTTTTTTTTTTTTTAAAAAAGGCTCTTTCAGAAGAAATTCTATTATGCACCCATAAGTGAATGCCTGATCTCATAGTTCACTAGAATGTATTACTTCATAGTTATTACACTGTCATAGGTGGTATATAATATTATTTTAAGATGTTTTCTCTTGTTTTTTATAATCTCTTCTGAAGGCAAGTCATTATTCAATGAGAAGTAATGCCATTGAAAATTTGCACTCCTGCATAGTTCCACCCTGTTGGCTGGATTCACTGATCTCTAATAAAATGTACGTTTTCTTATTATCATGATGCTGCTGTACAATGTTGCTTCACCGCAATCAGGGGTGTCATTTTGGTCGGACCAACACTGGATCTCACTCTCTTGACATCTGACTGCCTTTCTCCTAGGAGCTTAATTACTTCTATGCACTCTTGAGTTAAATTTGGTTAAAATTGGCAAAAGAATTCTATAATTATATATCCAAGGAAGTAGATTGTAGAAAAGGATAGTTGAGGGTGCCTCAGCTCATTTCTTCCAGACATTTTCAGAAGGCAACGGGGGATGATCACTCTTTAATCTCACAACAGCTTATGCATTGCACAAGGTCCTTACCATGCAGTCATGACTGTAGGAGCCCTGCACGTTTCTTGACTGTGTCAAGGTCACTCTGTGTATACAAACAACCATATCCAAGACCTACTGTGGTTTTCAGAATCACTGATCACATCTACAGCATGAACTGTCTAGATTTTGTAAACACCACTCATAACAACTCCACCTTCTAGTTGAAGAATCCATGTGGCCCAAAAAATGAGAAAAAGCAGATGTTATGAGATGTAAGGGAGGACTTTGCAGTGTTCTTATCTCCAGCTGAGGTCAAGTGACAAAGTGTTGACATACTGAGCGTTTTTAGAGCTGAGAGATCATTTCCCAGCTAGCTTTATTGTTTTTCAAAATTAGTCTTGTTTATCCTGGTGCTAACATGAGGTGTGAAAATGAGGTATGTACTTATCCAATCTCAGTGATCAGGCTTGTCAGCCTGTACTCCATGCTAACCCAGTAAACTTGGCAGGCTGCAAATCTGTCTTACCAATTTCTAATAGTAAACCTTGCCCACAGTATTATAATACCAGTTCAGCTATCAGAGAAAAAGAATGTTCTCTGGGTCCTAAAAGACAGAAGGGTTCTTGGATTTTGTCTCCCAAAGGGAAAAATAGACAGATAGACTGCTGTTCAGGCCACCACATAAACTGCCCTTCCAAATAAATTCTGCAAGAGTAAATGTATAGAAGCTGAAGAATATTGCTTCTGTTGGCTCTTCAGTCTGAGCCATGGCCCTATTTCAAGGCTGATAGACCACAGGAGAGCTAGATGCTCCTGGACTGTTTTGGCATTAAAGATGTGGCTAAGATAAATAGCCAAGCTCTACAGAAGAGTGTTTTCACAGCTCACCCAGGCTGGCAGCTGGGTCTTGGTAAAATGCCAAAGCATAAAAACTTGGCTCAAGCCACCTGCCCAATCCAAAATTCAAAGAGTGGAACTAGCCTAGGCAATCAGAGACAAGCTTATCTCCAGGTAAAGGCTGCATGCTGTATTCTTCTAGCAAAAAGAAAACCAGCATTGTGAGCAGAGTATCTCTAACAGTATTAATTTATGGCGGAAGGAAGTCTACATAATCATCTTTACAAAGAAAGACAGGTCTGAAGCACAAAGTTTCACATTTTTTTCAGAGATTCAGCACACAGCAGTTGCCTTTGATTGTAATGACAGGAAGAAGATGGGATTTCTCCAGCTCTGTCACAACAGCACGGATCATTGAGGATTCCTGTGGCCAAGCACGATTTTTCTATTTGAACATTTCTAAAGATTTTTGTCCCCTCACTATCCCTCCTGCAAAAATACATGTATCAGTGCTGCTGCATTCATTTACATTCAAGATCCTAAGAAGTTTAAAAGAGTCAATGTTAACATTTTGCAGAATTGAAACCCAACATAAATAAGTAGACTCAAATTTTCTTTACTCTGGGTGTGGGAGAAAACGGACCATTTTTAAATCTACCAAAAATTCAAGCGTACATATTATCTATGAAGCGCTTGACTAATATAGCATGTGGGAGGTACCCAGAAGAGACATTCAGAGAAGTGGGTAGGATGAGATTCTCATGCTGTTCCTCAAGCCATACAGAGATCAAACAAAAAACAGGTCCAGAGAAGACAAATCCTGAAGGTCAGCTGAAGCACTAAAGTCTGTTTTGTTTGCTGCTTGGAACACTTTTGGTGACCAGGGGAACACATGATTTAATGGTCTCTGTTCCTCTGTGTCCCATCCAGGCTATGACTGCCAAGCCCAGTCATGCTGACAAACCCAAACTCCCAGGGCACTGTAGCTTTCTTCATCTTCTAAAGTCAGAGAGAGAAATATGCTATGCTAGGTCAGAGCAGTAGTCTAAGTAATACTAAAACAGCAGACATCTTTGAGGTTTTTTAATTTCACTAATATCTTTTGTATCATAAGAAAAGGATAAGCAACCTCATTCTCAACAGTAATGCATATGTAACCTGCTTACTCCCTCCCTCTTTTCCTAGTCATTTTGAAAGTCTTTTATTCTAAATATTTTCTATTTCTTCCATTTAGGCAAGGCTGCAGAAACCCCACTGCAGGAAAGACAAGCTGCAGTGGGCAACCTGTGCCTCACTGCAAACATCAGATGACAGGGAACAGCAGCTAGACCATAAGAAAAAGCCATGAGATTTCCACTCATATCCCAGGACATTCAATGAAGGACCATCTTTCAAGAGGATGAGCTCAGTATCCTCCTCTGCACAGGAGGGCAGGCTGTAGCAGATCAGCCCTGTGCAGCCACAGTGATGCCTGTAGCCTGCAGCAAAGCAGAAACTCATGTGCATGCACAGATCCATGTGTAATTTCTGCCTGGTTACTTCCACTGAGAACCTGATTCAGCTATATTTGGCACTAGCACATCACCCTGAAAAGCTCTGGGTAGAAAGGAAAGTCTTTGCAGCAATGAGACACTGCCTAATTGGATGTCTCTTCAAGTGCACTTTGCGTCATTTTATTAAGCAACACTAATGTTAAAGCCCAGACATTGCACCTCAGCATATCTAACTCCTCCTGTGGAAAGGCTTGTGGCAGAGCCACAAGAAGGTATATCACCTTCTTGCTAATGGAGAAAATCCATCATCCAAAGTAATTTAAACCATTCAGGATAGTCAAGTTCATCAAGACAGCAATGACTGTGACTAAGACTACAGCTGAGGCAACTGCATTCAAAGCCTTTTTGCATTTTTTGCTAAGGGAGAGGCAGAGCTCCTGTCTCTCTCTAAGGCTTGAGACTGAGGTTATGGTGTCTGATTAAGGCACTTCAAGAAAGGTACCTGAGACTGAACTGGATAGGCAATGCTCTCTGATTTCAGAATGTGTGTTCATCAGCCTGCAGTGATGCCTAGAAAGGAGCTGGAACTTGTATGGCCAGTGACAGTGCTTACACTGACCTCATTGCTGCAGCTGTGGCTCTGCTTTTGTGTATGTCACTGGAGTCTGGCCCTACAGTCACACAGAGCAATATGAACCACAGAGCAATAATTTTGTAGTCTCCATCAACAAGTAACATCAGTCAACATGCTAGACACTGCTAAGAATAGTTGCAGTTTATCTCTGGTTGAGCAGGATAGAGATGCTTCAGGCTTCTTTCTCCTCTTGCATGCCTCCTCCAAAACCAGAGAGCAACTAACTGTTTAAAGTGGTGGGGATCAGCTCCCTTAGCAGCAGCTGTTCTGATTTTCTGTCTCCTCATGTGTTTTTTCTAAAAGGTCAGGCAATTACTCAGGACTGAAAAATCTGTGTCAAAGCAATCAGTAGTGGCATCTCGTTGACTTCAGAGAAATTGCAGCAGGAATTAATCTGACTTCACAATTCTTCCTTTCCCTATAACAAATGAAACAATCTAGGTAGATCCTGCCTGTAGGCAGCACCAAGCAAGATCTCACTTCAACCACAACTGTGGGGCTTGATCCCTCTAAAATGCCATTTTTCTCACAGAATCCTCCCACACCCAGCAGCTAATTTGAGCAATTGGACTAAAGCAAACAGGCACTGAGATGTCCCCCATATCTCAGCCAAGGGATGGAAGGAGAGAACCAGTGGGGTCCTTGTCCATTCTCCTCCTTCCCTGTCTGCAGGCTGACATGAACAAATAGGGTTGCTGCTGGAATTAGGGTCAGAAGCAAAAAAATACAAACACAAGGAAAGTTTTCTTTCTGAACTTGTGAAAATACAAATAGCTCACCCTGCTGTCTACTCTATGTACAGAGGAATGGGGAAGGATTTTAGCAGAGACCTTTGAAAGACAGGGAAATAGATCTTTATCCTTCCTCTAAATGCTACTTCATTTTTGCACTTTCTTTTCCCCAGAGCTCCTTATAGTCTCACCAAAACCAGTCTGCTGAAAGAAAGGGAAGGACAGAAAAGGAATTGTAGTGATAGATGTTACTTTGGCAAATAAGCCACCAAAAAAAGTGTGAAGAAAAATATTTTCTCCTGAAGCAGGGGGCCTTGTTCATCATTTACCTCATGTGTTTACCCTTGGGCTATCATTATATTAGCCACATTTCCTGACTGAGCTGGAGCACCTGGTAACTATAGTAACCACATTTTCATATCTGCCCATAAATTCCCTCAGTTCTAATTAGGGCACCCATTTATAACAGCAATAACAACACAGGAGAAACAACAGCAGAAGTAGCTCAGATGCAGTCATCTCTGTTTCTCTCATACCACAGAAATGACCCATATCTGAACAGTTCTTATACCCTAAGATGTCACTTATGGCACAAAGCTTAGTTTCTTGCCATGCCAACAACTTTTTATCCATCTGCTATGTTGTACATACCTTCTTTCTTTCTAAAAAGTCTGTTCATCAGCCTTGCAGTCCAAACAAAAGCCAGCAAGCTTCACATCAGGCTGTTTCTCTTGATAGAAGAAAGAATTCACACCCAGCCTACAACAAAATCCCATCCACAGCACTATTGCAGATTTTACAAAGAGTAAGTAGATGCTATTACAAGCAGAAAGGCTAAGTAGTTCAGTTTACAAATTTACCTATGCAATCCAGATAGTTTTGAAGAGAGGACAAACCATGTCATCCAAAACAAATGATAGGTAAATGATGAAGCAGCAATGTGAAAGAAATCAAGACCAAGTAATAAACAATTGCAAAGTTCAATGGCTCAGTGTATTTCATCACAAATTATTTCCTTCTCTATGAAACAATAAAGCTTACTGAACAACTTGAAGCCTGCTGACGTGATTTAAAAAGATGGATGGGCTGGTAGGTAGTCGAGAGTGTTTGCTTTATTGTTCACAGAGTCACTACTCAGAAGTACATTTGTTTTGGAGTCTGTGTGAATTATTGTCAAAAAAGTGACAAATCTCTTTCTCAGTTTAGGCCATGCTGTGCAGGCCTTATATGAATTTCTTTTGGTAGAAGAAAAAAGACATCATATCAATGTATTGGCACAGATAAGACAACAAACCTGTCTCTGCAGAGGCCAAGAGAGCAGTGCTGCTGTGGCTTCAGGTTTTGGCTAATTTGTTGCCACTAGAAAATTTTCTCTTGTTAGAAAAGCCTGCCAATTATCATAACTTATCCGTGACTGTCAACGAGATTATCTTCTCGTGAACCTTTATCCACTTTTCCTCTACATCTCCTGAAGGCTGAGGGAACTGGGTAAGAAAACATACTGGAGCTTTTGCCGGTGCTGTTGGTGATTTCCAGTGTGGAATATTAAATACCAGTTACCCTGCTTGCGTTGCCAGCCCTCATGTGGGGAAAAAAATGACAAGCCCAGTGGTGATATCATATAAATAGGTGTTAGTCCAAGCTACAATGGCATGACAGCTGACTTCAGCCAGGCATGTGGAGACCAGACGATCCACATCCTTGCATGAGAAAGATATCCACCTTCCCACTACCAACACAAAATTTAAGAGGAATGTTCAGGCTCACTGAATGGAAGAACAAAAAGTATTTCACTGAATTTTTTACTTTGGGATTCACTGGCATAATCAGGGATGCTGTGACAACACTCCACAGAGCTTCCCCATTCCTTTGTACTCTGTTTTTATACTAAGAACTCACTGAGAGAAACAGCACCTCCTTGGCCCAGTGAAGTGATACCTGCCACTTGTGAAAGCCAGTGTGTGTTCCTCTCCCCTGACTTCCCAGTGAAGGCTCAAAGCACCCTGGGCAGAGATGGGTGAGCCATCCTCAGACTGTGGCTGTAAAAAGCAGGTAGGGTTTGTTCATTGCCTCCTATTCTATAGGTTTATCTGTTCTTTGCACCAAGTAATAAGAGCTTTCAAAGTGAACAGTGTTGTAATGAGAAAATGTAAACTTTAGCGAATTGCCAAAAAAGGTTCCAGCTATTTGCCAATTTAGTCATCAAGCACCACTTAGAAGCGTGGATAGAAAATATATTGATGATCAAATTCTAATATAACCACAAAAATTGATTTAAGATGCTGCCAAACATGAAGCACAGTAACAGTCAATACCATCTATATGTATTTTCATTTAATAAGTGAAAAGTAATTTCTGTCACTTCCAGACTGGATTAATTTTTGACACTTTCTTCACCTTATGAGATGCTGTTTGAAACTTGGGTGGAGAGTCCCCTGTTGCAAGTTGTGCCACTCATTACTGTACCCTCATTTCTCCATCAATTTCTTATTTATTCAGGTTGTGCTCTGTTAAGAGAGATGGGTATTTGCAGGATGTATGATGCATAATGAGTCTCCAGTCTCTATGGAAGCCTCTAAAACTGCCCATCTTATTTTGCTTAGTGGTTCTTCCCATTTTTATCAAGAGGGAACACTCTCAAACTGTCAAAATCTTTTCAAATGACCCCACAGTAACCACTGTAGCCTAGAGTACTTCTTGGCTTGTTAAATATTAAAATAGAATGTGAAAAATATGTTTTATTTGACTTTAATAGTTAAGGAAAGCAAGTTTTTGACAGGAAAATAATAGCTCTGAAAATAAGGAAAAGAACTAATTAAAAATAAGATTAAATAAACAGCTTCTATGTGATCTCTTGAGCTAGTTTCATTTCAAAGACTTGCTTTACCTGGCATAATATGTCGTTTGCGAGACCCCTATGTAAGGTTAAGCATTCCTTGGTAGTTGCCTGGAAACGATGCCAATGACAGTTTGTTCTCATTAAGGGCAAATAATGCAGAAAGGCTGTTACAATTGTACTTCTGAACACTTAAATAAATTCATTTTGGACATGTTTTTTCCCTCTAAAGATGCAAGTTCTGAAATCTTACCAGAAGCATTGGCACAAAATAGATTCCAACTTAAGTACAAGAGTATGCACATAAATTAATTTGAAATTACCAGTATTACTATTATTATTTTTTTAGCCAAATTAGTGTTGAACAGAATACAGTCGTCTTGGTTTTAGACTGGTTTTGCACTGGCTTCTTTTTTTTTTTTTCTGTTCTGTACTGTGTGAAACTCAGCACTTTTTAATAAGGCCCTCTGAAAAGTAGGAGAGACAACTTTCAAAGCTGCTGCTTGGGAAATCAGCAAGAAGAGCAGAAATCAACCCCCAAATCACTACCATTCTTAGAAAGGAAAGCTCACAAGTTTAGTTCTTGCTTCACGGTTCATTAAAACCACATTGCTGCCCTGGGCCCCAATCAATGATTCCTGTGCTCACCTGGAGGCACGCTTCAGGTTCACAGCTACCCGGGCAGGGCAAAACCAATCTGCACAAATGTGACTGTTTAGGTGTCTGTGGGGACACCATGACTCTTTTAACTTTGTCAGTTAGCAAAGTTGTGGCCCCAGGCCAGCTCCCTCTGCTTTCCATCAAACCTTTCCTTTACAACCAGGTGATGCTGTGGTCAATCACGGGAAGCACAGACCAACCAAAACACCTTCTTTACAGAAATCAATGATGACCTGAGGCATCACTGCTGCAATTAGAAGAGCTTTGGCTAGTTTGAACTGTTGGTAAATGAAAAGAAAAACCAGTTCATTTAAGACTGGGAGGAGAGCATCTATTCTTTTGCCATTCCAGCCAAATATTTTGTCATGGGGATGAGTGGGTGAAGAGGTGGACATATTTGTGATATTTATGTGCCACAGTTGACAATCTTGCACTCTCATTTTACATTTTATCTGCAGCTTGTCTGTTACGTCGTATTTGCCTTAGTTTCATATAATCGATTTTGAATAGATCTAATGGAGGAGGGGACTGCAGTGTTACAAGTAGCAGACATTTTATTGTGGCCAGAGTCAGAAAAAACATCGAGAGATCTATAGACTTTCACTGGAAAGCATCAGTATATTTAATACCTATACTAAATTTAACATTATATTTAGTGAAGTTCATTCCATCATATGAAATTTTCTTCTTTTTTTTTTTTGTATGTGAGAGATACAACAGGTTGGGAGGAGCAAAGAAGTAAGAATAAGAGAGGAGGGGAAAAGCAGATCATTTGGAGTTAATTTTGCAGGTTTTTTTGTTTTGTTTTGTTGTTGCTGTTTTTTTCAAATAGAAAAACACACACATGATTATAAAAGATGATAAACAACAGGGAACCATCTTCCTGCATGGAAAGAGTTGCATGAAGTTACCATGAATACATGCTAGTTACCTGCCCTTCTGCAAAAAAGGGAGAATGTATCTATTTTATTTCCTAAAACAAGATAAACTCCACTTCATGGAGAAGCCTACAAACACCTGGATGAGCCAGCCAGCCAGACAGATATGACCAGACAAGAAGCAGATTTTATTAACAACTAAAGAAGTTTGCCATCTGGCAATGCTGGGCAGAGGAGATGAGGGCAAACTCCATCCCATTAAGGGAAATCAAGACAAAGGCCCATGCCAGACAGTGAAGGATGCATGAAAGATAATCACTGGCAGCAACACTTTCCACAGAGTTGTTTCTCTTCTCCACTGTTGCACTGTCAGTTTACAACTGAACAAACAGGAACTGCTGAAAGAGAGAATGGAAGATATTTACCCTGCCCTCGGAAACTGTGTGTTTCCAAAAAACACAGAGCATAAGGGGAAATATCTGGAAGAAAGCATAGTTTATCTTGATTGATAATGACTGTTCAATGGCTAAATTTTGTGCTCCAGCTCAGATGTTCTGAAGAAGTGTAGTGGTTTGAACCAGGTTTTCCCCCTGAAACTAAGAAAGTGGTAACCCCCAGGGGGTGGTGACCCTTGGGGCTTGACCAATCAGTGCTCCTGCAAAATATAAACATATCTCTGGAGACCGGAAAAGAAGTAGTGGTACTTGTGGTGAGAGGAAGAGGTGGCCATGTTGTAGAGGCCACGAGGAGAAGGGGCTCCGGCCCCTTAGGGGGCTTTGCCCCCCCAGCCCCCAGTTGGGGGGCTGCAGGGACTTGGAACAGTGTTAGCTGGACTGAGTGCCTGTGGCTAGGAGCTGGGGGAGTTTTCTCCCCTGTAAGTAGAAGTGGGAGACGCTGGGAGCAGCGACGGAGCAGCAGCGGAGACAGCAGCGTCCGAAGAGCAGTGGCAAAGAGCCAACTGATAAGGACCAAAAGGAGCAACACAAGCCGGTATGCAGCTAAGGCAGACACAGAGGTGTCTGAGGAGAAGGAAAAGCAGCAACAGGACAAGAGAACCAAGCCAGCAGCAGGAACAGAGTTTCGCGGGGTAAGAACTGGATAAACCAAAACCCCCAAACTCGCTAGAGACCCCTCCGAGAAAGAGGAGGGGGTGGTGGACTGAGAGGAGTCCTAAAGTGCAGTATGCACTGCTGAGAGGAGCTAGGAAGCTCATGGCCTCCTGAGAGATAAGCCAGGACGGCCGAAGGAATGTGTGTGTGTGGGGGGTGACCTTGGCCCCCCCTGCTCCAGCTTCAGAGAAGCTGGCAGCCATCTTTGAGGCAGAGCATGGGAGCTCTGCACAGGGGCTTGATTTTCCCCTGAAGATACCAGACTGTCACGAAGACCCCCGTGCTTCGTGATATGACCGTGGTGGAACGACCTTGTCTGGGGTTACGTAGTCCACGGAAAGACCCCCGTTTGAGGACGGAGGGCCGAGGGGCTTGGAGACCCCCTCGTGTGTGCTGGCAGAGAGCCAGCAACT